ATTTTTCTACCAGATACATCGGAAAATTTGAAAAAATAGTGAAAACGAGCGAAAAATTTTAAAAGTTTGAATTCGCGCGCTTTTACTCACCGGGCGGCCTAGAAAAACCTCGTCCCTAAGGGCTTTCAGCGTATTTTTCGATGCGTTTTTCTCGATGAAGCAATTTTTTTCGAATTTTTTCTTTATTTTTATGTCAATCTACATGCATTTCTGCACATTTTGATGCAATAAAAATTTCACTGTGCACCACCTTTAACGTGCTTTTCGTGTGAAGTCTCCGATTTAATTGAGTTTGTAAGTCGATGGAAATCAGGAAACGCATTTCAAAAGCTAGAATACCTAAAAATCAAACTGCTTCTTGGGGGAATCCCTCGAGACGAATTACTGACTGCAATTGGGGCAAGACATATTGCCGCAACAAAAACGCCACCAACGCACACTGTGCCTAGAGCGTAAGTTACTTCTTGATATTTTTTAAAAGTTGTACTTTTCAGGTACGTTGAGCAAGCATTTAGGCCAAATACTGATCCAATCGTCAGCCACTCATACGTCGTTAGAGAATCAGATAATCGTGTGGCATCTGTATTAACAAAAAGACAAAACCGAGGATGAATTTTCAAGAATGGTAGATCAGTTGCAAATAGACAGTTATTCAAACCATCAATTCATAAAAATAAACGGCACAACATCTCAACATTTTAGTTTTTCAGCACCTTTTTTTCTGCTACTTTCAGTTCATGTCATTTTTATTGCTTTCTGTTTCTATATAACTTTTTCTATTCCAACTGTAATAAATTTTATTGAGATTTATGGGAAGTTCTGCTAAATATATTGTTGTGTATCTTGATTTCCTATCTTCCAAATATACTCATATTGCTCGTGTCTGAAGTCAATACACGTTTAGAGCGGGAGATTTTTGGATTTTAGGTCATGACCTAGATTTTTTAGATTTTCTAGGTCACGACCTAGATTTTCGAGTTTTTAGGTCATGACCTAGATTTTTGTGTGTTTTAAATCATGACCCAGTTTTTGGATTTTTCGATCATAACCTAGGTTTTTGGATTTTTAAATCATGACCTAGATTTTCAAATTTTCTTGGTCATTACTTAGATTTTCAGATTTTCAAATTTTTACAACCTAGATTTTTGGATTTTAGGTCATGACCTAGATTTTTTAGATTTTCTAGGTCACGACCTAAATTTTGGATTTTTATGCCACGACCTAGATTCTTGGATTTTTTTAAACAGATGTTTTTAGTAAGCCAGCTTTATTATGTTTGATAAAATTCGGCAATTCATGAGAGATTTGAGACTTCAGCAAGTTTTAAGACAAGAAATTTTGGGAGAATCGACTAATTTATAGCTACAACATTGAGATTCAGTTCAATAAGCACGTGGTCGGAAATACCGTATAAACTGTAATAGAATGGCTCCCCTCAAGAGATATCAAAAAGTTTTCAACTGATAAAACGTTTGTGATAAAAGGATAAACATTTTATCAGTTGAAATTTTTTGATGTTTTTACATGAGGCAAGATAAATTGACTCGAAGTTAGGGAGACCTTATATTAGAGGTTTCACGATAGTAATAAGTTAAAATTAGAAAATGAGGCGGGGTCTAATTCTAAAAAAGTATCAAAATGATTCAACTAATCACACAGCACGGCTTCTTTTTGTCCGTTGCACATTCCTTGGTTACAGATATTTCCGAGTTCACTTTTGCCAAATTGCCACCCTTTGGGATTGATGATGTGGAATTGTTGTTGCTCTCCAAGTACTTTGCGTTCTGAAAGTATAAAAAAGTTGTATCGAAATTCGGGAAATTTAGCCGACCGACCGACCGCCGAACGAATTTGCGCGTCAACATGCAAGAGAGTGTTTGCGTACGCAGCATTTTACTCGACGCGCAAGTACACATCTTTGTGCCCAACTTACCCTAGCCTCCACAAGCTTCACAATTTCATCAATATTCGGCCATGAGTCCGCTTTGTCGTCCTCGATATGCTTGTACAAAATCTCTCCAGATTTGTCGACAAGTACAGTACCCCCTTTCTGTGAGATGTAAGCAACGGAATCATCGGGCCCCGCCGCTTCTTTGGCAGTGTTCGCGTAGTCTCCCTCCACTAGCGAAGCTTCGACAACCTGGAAAAGTTTTCAGTGACTTTGAGCTCAATTATCTTAATTTCTATAAGAGATAACAAAAATCCGACAACTGATAAAATGTTGGTGATATTATGACAAAAATTTTATCAGTTGACAATTTTTTGGTATCTTTCACAGGAACCGAGAGATCAGAGATGTCCATATTCCGTGAAAAATTTTCAGTCCGAATTTTGAGCATATTTGTTAAATTGCAAGAATTATCTGACTTTTTTGAACTTCCGCGACTAAAACTGCAAAAATATAGCACGATATGTGTTTTTAGAACTTAAAATTCCGGATTCCGTATTCCGGATTCCGGAACATTATTTTCATTCCGTCTTCCGGTTTCCGGATTCCGGGAAAAATTTTTTGTCCGGATTCCGGATTCCGGATTCCGAGAAAATTATTTTATTCCGGATTCTGGATTCCGGATTCCGTTCTCAAAAAAGTCATTCCGGACACCTCTGCGAGAGATAATAGCTTCAAGTTAGGGGTTACGGTACCTTGCAAAGCGTTCGCCAACCATTATACTCCAACGCGGATTTCCTGCTGACTTTCAGTTGTTCTTCTGCTTCATTCATATCGTATAATTTTCTGAATGGGACACCAATCAATTTGATATATGCACCTCCGCTGGATCCAATGGGCGGTCCTTTGGTTAGTAGGAAGACGTCGCATCGCAATTTTCGTAGCTCGTCAATTCGATTGTATAATCCAAGAATGTGCTCGTTGACTTCTGGTTTATTGAATGCTCTGGAATATTACCGTATTCTAGATTACTGAAAATTTCCGAATTTCTAATTCTAACCACTCACCTGACTACAATAATGAGTACACAATCAAAAGCACTTCCGGTCACATAGTAAGAAATTGTTTTGCTCTGAAGTCCGAGAATTCCAGAATCTGAAAAAAGAATTATGTGCTCAGAATGATATAAAATGATGTATATACCTTCTGGAAGAGTACTGACTGCCGTTTTGACTGGACCCAACGTCTTCTCAAGCTCGTCATCAATGTCACGTAGGAAGCAATCCCAGGCTTCGAAAGATTCAAGGAGCGCTTTTCCAGAAGCTTCTGGAAATCGGGGAATTTTTTTGGAATTTAGGGAATATCCTGGTTTTATGAAAAATCTGAATTGTCAGAATTTCTGGAAATCCAGAGATTCTGAGATTCTGAGATTTTGAGATTGTGAGATTGTGAGATTGTGAGATTCTGAGATTCTGAGATTCTGAGATTCTGAGATTCTGAGATTCTGAGATTTTGAGATTCTGAGATTCTGAGATTCTGAGATTCTGAGATTCTGAGATTCTGAGATTCTGAGATTCTGAGATTCTGAGATTTTGAGATTGTGAGATTGTGAGATTCTGAGATTCTGAGATTGTGAGATTGTGAGATTCTGAGATTCTGAGATTCTGAGATTGTGAGATTGTGAGATTGTGAGATTGTGAGATTCTGAGATTCTGAGATTCTGAGATTCTGAGATTCTGAGATTCTGAGATTCTGAGATTCTGAGATTCTGAGATTCTGAGATTCTGAGATTCTGAGATTCTGAGATTCTGAGATTCTGAGATTCTGGGATTCTGGGATTCTGAGATTCTGGGATTCTGGGATTCTGAGATTCTGGGATTCTGAGATTATATTTCAAATTTTTCTGCAAAATTAATACGCCAGTTTCTAGCTCTTCAAATATAGATTTCAGTAACTCCAGAAATATATCATTACCCTCACATCATGTTCCCAAAATAGTTTCTCAAAGTCTACATTCCTAATCTTCTAATCCCTCTGAATGGTTTTCGATTACACAAAAAAACAATTAATCGAGCCAAAAAACATGTCTCCTCTAGTAGTACTCAATAACCTATTTATGTGATATCAACAAATCGGATTACTAATTTCTCCGGAGGTCCTGGTTTCAGGAAGTGGTCAAAAACGTCATTAGGATTAGCAAAAATTGTTTGAATGAGTTGAAAGAAAAAATTAAGGCAAAGATCATCAATCCGGGTTGTCTAGAACTAGAAGAATACATCGCTTTTATCAGCCAAAAATTGGAACTTTCCAGATGTTCAATACCGAAGCTCATAGAAACTTCCAGAAGAATTATATTGTCTCCAGATTCTGGTCAATAGGGTTAATACCTCCGTTCCCCACCCACTCAATACAAGCTTAAGCTTACTCATCGCCGGATCCTCTTCCAAGTCCTTCAATTTCTGAATCAGCTCATCCAACGACTTGACTTTAAGCACCGCGAATAATTTGGCAAGTTCGGGACAAAACTCAGTGACCAAGAATCGATTTTGCACATAGTTGGCAACGAAAACAGATCGGTTGTTCTGGGCGATCACCTGAAAAAGGAAAAACAAGATTCTGGAAGATTCTAGAATGTTCTAACGACCTCATTATATTCAGCAAGCTTTCCATGAAAGAAATCCACGACTGCGGCAATCTGCTCATCGTCCGAAGATCCAACTTGATCGTTGACTGTGGTTGGAAGGAGAAGGATGTCACGGACCTGGAAGCATAGGACTACTGTACCGCTCAATAAGATATAAAACGTCCGGAACTCGGCTGCCAAGCTTCCGATCGTTTCGAAAATTTTGGAGGGTTTTAAGCAGACCCAGATTGAAAACTTTGCATTTACAAAATTTTTTTGAAAATTCCTACTTTTCCAATTTCTGAGGGATATCCCTCTTTGCCCTGGCTGTATTGAAAACGGACGAAAATTCATGTTGAAATTTGCAATTTTCCTCTCAAAAATGACCAATCGGTGGTTTCGATCAATTTTTGAATTTGTACTACTCGTGGACAAGTCGACGCGCGAAATTCAAATTTTAAGGTTACGAAGCAGCTTGAAACGCGACGCTTACATAAAAAGCCGAATTTTTCAACAAGAAAAATGAAGATTTCATGTTTTGTACTCCTCGTGGACAAGTAAACGCGCGGAATTTGAAATTTTGGGGTCAAAAAATACATTTTTTGAAAATTCCTAGTACGAGGAGTACAAAATACAAAATTATCAATTTTTTTGAAACTTCAATTTATCGTGATTGCTAGCGATTTTACTTCCAAAAATCGAGTTTGAAGCTTCTTTGAAACTCAAGAATTCAGATTTTGCGCGTCGACTTGTCCACGAGGAGTACAAAATTCAACATCGATCAAAACCTCCATTAGTCATTTTTGAACGGAAAATTTCAAATTAACGAACCGTTTTTAAGGGTGGCGTGCGGTGAAAAATTTTATTGCTTCATTTTGTGCAGAAATCCATGTAGATCCCCATAAAAATAAAGAAAAAAATCGAAAAAAAATTCCTTCATTGAGAAAAACGGCATCGAAAATTCAAAGTGGGAACCGGTGGCCTAGCAGCCAGGTGTGAGTTTTCTAGGCCAACTGCCTGTAAAAGCGCGCGAAATTCGAATTTTTATTGATTTTCAGTGTTTTCTCGAATGTCTTTTAAAGATTTCAAAATGTTTTTGTTAATTCCCTTCCAGGTGTATGAAAAAACCTGACAAAAATCTGAGAAAACACTGAAAATCAATAAAAATTCGAATTTCGCGCGCTTTTAGAGGCAGTTGGCCTAGAAAACTCACACCTGACCGCTAGGCCACCGGTTCCCACTTTGACTTTTCGATGCCGTTTTTCTCAATGAAGGAATTTTTTTTGAATTTTTTCTTTATTTTTATGGGAATCTACATGGATTTCTGCACAAAATGAAGCAATAAAATTTTTCACCGCACACCACCTTTAACCTTTTTCAGTACAAAAACGGACCAAAAAGGGGTGTCGGCAAATAGCTGAAAAACTAGGAATTTTCAAAAAAACTCGGTGAATGCAAATTTCCAATCTAGGTCTGTTTTACATCCTCTGGAATGTTCAAAGTGAATGGAAACTTGACAGCCGAGCTACAGACTTCTGAAAATATAGGAACTTAGAACCTCTAGACTACTGTATCTAGTGAAACCTGCACATCAAACTAACCTGCTCGTTTTGCTCCTCAGCCATCAGGTATGCCTTAAACATTATGGGTTTTTTTTCGGTTTGTTTTTCAGATATACAAGAAAATTTAAGACGAGAAGAAATAATAATATTAAAATGAGAAAAGAAAAAGAAGGAGTCAGATTTTTTCTGTTTTTTGTATTCTATCCGTCTATCTGGATACAATGCGAATGATTCTAATCCCCTCCCCACCCCTTTTTATTCCAATTTTTTCTTCTCTTTTGACTCTTTGTAAAAAAGAAGAGGAACGATGAATAAACCTAATCAACAAGATATTGGAAGAAGAAGAAGAAGAGGAATGGAGGAAGGACAAGAGAAGGACGAATTCCGGGGATTCGATAGTTCTTTTTATAGAAAAAAGGGCAATTAGAGACATTTGGGTGTCGAGGGAAGAGTTCTATGATCGCTTGGTAGGGTTTTTCAAGGAGTTTCGATTTTTAAGATTTTAGGAAATTGAAGATCTGGAATTCAGAATTTCGAAAATCAAAAATAAAAAGTTCGATTTGACGGATTTCTGCATTTTCTGAACTTCAGAATTTCTGAATTTCTGAATTTCTGGAAATCCAGAGATTCTGAGATTCTGAATTTCTGGAAATCCAGAGATTCTGAGATTCTGAGATTCTGAGATTTTGAGATTTTGAGATTCTGAGATTCTGAGATTCTGAGATTCTGAGATTCTGAGATTCTGAGATTCTGAGATTCTGAGATTCTGAGATTCTGAGATTCTGAAATTCTGAGATTCTGAGATTCTGAGATTCTGAGATTCGGAGATTCTGAGATTCTGAATTTCCGAATTTCTGAAGTTCCGAATTTCTGAATTTTTGAAATCTAAAAAGCCTCAAAATTTAAAGAAATCTGGGAAATGCAGAAATTCTAGATAATCTGAAAACAAAGATTCTTAAAAATTTGAAAAATCTGAAATGCAGAATCTGGAGAATCTAGAATATCAAAATTTGGACCCTGAAAAATCTAAAAAGTTTATGAACGTTAGAAAAAAAAGCACCTGTAATAGAAGGGCAATAGGGATTACGGTAGAACTAAACCTCTCAGAATTATTAGAGTTCTCACACCTTCAACTTGACTTGGAAATTTCGTTCATTTTTGATTTGTAATTCCAAGTTTTTGAAATTCGTAGAATTTTAGACAATCAGTTTCTCACAGCTTATCAAAAACCCACCTAATCAATGTACTCCCAAGAATAGAAAATTAAGATTTTCTGAAAATATCGGCGGGACATTTAGTCGTCTATAAAACTATTGACGTTTCCCCCCTTCTTCAAAAACAAGAAACACCTGTCTATATTTTTTTTTCAGTCCTAGCAGCTCGTTTCTAGGTCACGGCCAAAGGTGTCAGAATAAAGTTTTAGAACATTCCGGACACCTCCAATAGAAGTTCACCTAAGCCTTGACCTCAATTATCTCGATTCCTGTAAGAGCTATCAAAAAGTTGTTAACTGATAAAATATAGGAAATATAATGATAAACAATTTATTAGTTGATAGATTTTTAATATCTTTTACAGGAATCAAGATAATTGAGTTCAAAGTGCTCGTTTAGTGTGAGCTTCTATTAGAGGGGTTACGGTATCTTGACTCCATAAGTTTTGTACCGGATAAAAGCATATAAATTCCATTCTGTTAAGATATATTATGTACATATTATGTATGTCCTTTGTAACCGAAAAAGCACCGAAACAAGATATCTGCGCTCAAAGGTGACTGTTTGGGAGGCACGCTATCAGAGTGGTTACGGTAACTGAAGCAAAAGAAGAATGAAAATCGGGATCAAACTGATTAAATGGGAGAAAAAAGTTGATTGAGATTTAGTTTTTTCAGTAGAATTCTAGGTTAATATCACTTTATATGGTGTGAGTTGAGTGGCCTCACGTATAATGTGACATCATTTGCGAATGACTTGTGACTCAAATTTTTCTTTTTTGGATGAATGAGGGGAGAAGGGAATAGAGCTTACCTATGTTCAAAAAGAGAACTTCTTCTTCTTTTGTCTGAAATAAAAATGAGCAATCAATTCAGAAAAGAAGCGAGGCTGTTCAGAAAAAAGAACTAGCGAAAATCCCAAAAAGGTAACCGCTCTACTAGAAGCCCACCCATGCCGTCGACTTTGAGCTCCATTATCTCGGTTTCTGTGAAAGATATCGAAAAACCTTCAACTGATAGATTATTCATTTCAACATGACCTATATTTTATTAGTTAAAAGATTTTTGGTATCTTTTATAGAAACCAAGATAATTGAGATCAAAGTTTACTGTACGGGTGGACTTCATTAGAGGAGGTGCGTTTTAACTTTGAGCTTGATTATCTCGGTTCCAACGAAATATATCAAAAAGTTGTCAACTGATAAATTGTTTATCATAAAATTAGCTATATTTTTTTAGTTGACATGTTTTTGGTATCTTTCACAAAAACCGAGACATACAGGTTCAAAGCTGACAGCTTGGGTTGGCTTCAATTAGAGCATTTACGGTAGTTGGATCGTTTTCTTATCCAATTTTTTGCACACGAACCGAAAAAGGGGAATAAAATGAAATGGTGTAAAAAATCCGCTTTTCTCCCGATGGGTTTTTTTCTCAAAAAAGGCGAGAACCCCTCTATACAATAAACTCATTCGGTTTTCTTCTTTTCAATGGGGCGGAGAGAAAATCGAGATTGGAGAAAGAAGAAGAAGGATGGAGGGGGGGGGGGGGGGTGGAACAAAAGAAGAAAATAAGCAAGAAAAAATCCTTTGAAGCAAAAGAAGGACAAGGATTATGAGAAAAAAGAACGCTCTGAAAAAAAGGAGCCAGAAAAATGAGTCAGTTTGAAATATTAATGATGTGGGGGACTAGAATCTTGGGAGTAGAATCTTTTATTACCTGAAAATTTATAGCTGGTACGAAACTCGTTATTTAAGATTTCTGGAGTTTCAAAAAAACTTGAAAAATTGGATTTGACAAAATGGAAACTTATAAAAAAGATCCCGAAAAACTCGCTGGCAACTGAAGAAATGAGCAAAGTTACTTTGAGCTCAATTATTTCGATTTCTTTGAACCACATCAAAAATTTGTTATCTGATAAAATATGAATCATAACATCAACAATATTTTATCAGTTGACAAAATTTTGATGTCTTCTGAATAAACTGAAATAAATTGGCTCAAAGTTAAAACCGCATTTCCTCTAATGGAAGTGGGCCCGATCCGTCAACTTTGAGCTTAATTATCTCGGTTCCTATGAGAGATATCAAAAAGTGTTTAAAAAATACTGATAATATTGTGATAAACAATTTATCAGTTTGCAAATTGTTGATTTCTTTTAAAAGAACCGAGATAGTTGACGGCAAAGCTGACACTCTACAATAAGAAACACGTTATTAGGGGGAAAAGGAATCAGGTCAAGTTTTCTGAAAACTGTCAGAGAAGTTTGAGAATATCCGATTCACTTGGGTTCAAGCCAACGGGTCAAAAAACGCGCCTCAAATAACTTTAGGCCACTTTACTTTTAGGCCAGAAGAAATTTAATAATTTCCAACTTGACGTGGATTTGACCTAATTAGTTTCAATCAACGAGTTGCAACGCGTGATTTTTTCGTCCAACGTTTAAAAGTTTGATTCTCAGCCACATAATTCAGCAGCGAATTTTTTCTAAAATCTCACGTTTACTGGGGCGCGATTTCTGACCCATTTGCGTGAACCCAAGTGCCGAGAATATATATTTTCAATCCTCTAAAAAATAATTTCAGCTTCCGTGTATGTCCGTCGTCATCTGACAAATAACACTTGAATCGTATGCGTAGTTCTATACGATTTTCTAGGAAAATTCTAAAGAAAAAAATGTATCTGGACATATTATTTTTTTGATGGGGTTTTTGGAATTGTATTCGACTGACGGTTGATACAGATACGAATAACGGGATTTCGATAACATTTTTTGGGAAATTTCAAAGAAAGGGAGCTGGGAAAGATTGGAAAATAAACAAAAAACCTGTAATAGAAGAGCCCCCACTTTGTCAAGTTTGAGCTCAATTATCTCGGCTCCTATAAAAGATACCAAAAATGTGTCAACTGATAAAATATTTAACATAACATCAGCAATATTTTAACAATTGCCAAAAGTTTGATATCTTTTATAGAAACCGAGATAAATTGGCTCAAAGTTAAAACCCCATTTTTCTAATGAAAGCCCGCTCGCCCGAACCATCAGCTTCGACCTCAATTATCTTGGCTCCTATAAGAGATATCAAAAATGTCTCAACTGAAAAAATGTTTGAGATATTATGATAAACAAATTATCTGTTGACAACTTTTTAATAACTTTTACAGGAAGCTAGAAAAAAGACTTAAAGTTACGGTAGATGTTCTTTGATTTAACATTTAAATCTTGGAACAAAAACATGATAATTGTAAAAATCAGAAATGCAAAGAAACAGCAAAAAAAAAGAAACAAGAAAACCGAGAAAAAAACCGGGTCGTTCGTCAGTGTTGAGCTAAAAAAGAAAGAGAAAGCAGATGGAAAAAAATGAAATCGAGAAAAGAGAAAAAAGACCAGTGCCTTGACTTTTTCCTCCCAACAACCTCTCTCTCTCTCACATCAATCTAATCATATCTGGCGATTACTGGAAAACCAACCCAGTAAGGTTGGAAATAGAAAGTGAGAGAGAGAGAAAAGAGAGAGAGAGAGAGAGAGAGAGAGAGAGAGAGAGAGAGAGGCACAAACACTGATTTTATTTAGCCTCCATACACCTATTTCTCAGGTATACTTAAGCTTTTTCTCCAAGCACCGCCAACCACATCACTCTCTTGACCAATGAGAAAGCCGCCACAAAATAAATAACAAAATTGAGTATTGAGAGAAAAATCAATGAAGAGTTTAGATCTGATTTTAAGAGTGTTTCTGGTTAAAAGTTCGAGTTTCAGAAAAAAAAATACTTCTTGAAACTATAAATGATTTTGATGATAGCACTGTAATAGAGTGTCCCCCCTCTCTCATTTTTACAAATAAGAAATCCATTAACACTAGATGAGCAGT